AACGCCGATCAGCGATATCCGGTGACACCCGGACTATGGAACGCAATCACACCGGCATGGTTAATGGCGGATTGTTAGAGAACAAAGAGTTCCGTCGTCTCCAGGGACACGGTGACCCATAGGGCAGAAAACCGGGACAAGTGGGAACAAAGGAGAGAGGCCGCTGCACTCTAATGTAACCATCAATAATGCCGCGCCGCCTGACTGCCAAGTCTTCATACCGAGAGCAGTCTCCCGGCTTGTCCTAAAGCAGAACTCCGGCCACAAAAACTTTCATTTATATGTGTTCCTCAATACTGTATATATAAATGAGACAAGACCAGTCACCCTGCACAAGGAGAGAGAGCGGCAGTGAGCGGTCTATATTACAGGAGGGGGAGGAGACAAGACCAGTCACCCTGCACAAGGAGAGAGTGGCAGTGAGCGGTCTTTATTACAGGAGGGGGCGGAGACAAGACCAGTCACCCTGCACAAGGAGAGAGTGGCAGTGAGCGGTCTTTATTACAGGAGGGGGCGGAGACAAGACCAGTCACCCTGCACAAGGAGAGAGTGGCAGTGAGCGGTCTTTATTACAGGAGGGGGCGGAGACAAGACCAGTCACCCTGCACAAGGAGAGAGTGGCAGTGAGCGGTCTTTATTACAGGAGGGGGCGGAGACAAGACCAGTCACCCTGCACAAGGAGAGAGTGGCAGTGAGCGGTCTTTATTACAGGAGGGGGCGGAGACAAGACCAGTCACCCTGCACAAGGAGAGAGTGGCAGTGAGCGGTCTTTATTACAGGAGGGGGCGGAGACAAGACCAGTCACCCTGCACAAGGAGAGAGTGGCAGTGAGCGGTCTTTATTACAGGAGGGGGCGGAGACAAGACCAGTCACCCTGCACAAGGAGAGAGTGGCAGTGAGCGGTCTTTATTACAGGAGGGGGCGGAGACAAGACCAGTCACCCTGCACAAGGAGAGAGTGGCAGTGAGCGGTCTTTATTACAGGAGGGGGCGGAGACAAGACCAGTCACCCTGCACAAGGAGAGAGTGGCAGTGAGCGGTCTTTATTACAGGAGGGGGCGGAGACAAGACCAGTCACCCTGCACAAGGAGAGAGTGGCAGTGAGCGGTCTTTATTACAGGAGGGGGCGGAGACAAGACCAGTCACCCTGCACAAGGAGAGAGTGGCAGTGAGCGGTCTTTATTACAGGAGGGGGCGGAGACAAGACCAGTCACCCTGCACAAGGAGAGAGTGGCAGTGAGCGGTCTTTATTACAGGAGGGGGCGGAGACAAGACCAGTCACCCTGCACAAGGAGAGAGTGGCAGTGAGCGGTCTTTATTACAGGAGGGGGCGGAGACAAGACCAGTCACCCTGCACAAGGAGAGAGTGGCAGTGAGCGGTCTTTATTACAGGAGGGGGCGGAGACAAGACCAGTCACCCTGCACAAGGAGAGAGTGGCAGTGAGCGGTCTTTATTACAGGAGGGGGCGGAGACAAGACCAGTCACCCTGCACAAGGAGAGAGTGGCAGTGAGCGGTCTTTATTACAGGAGGGGGCGGAGACAAGACCAGTCACCCTGCACAAGGAGAGAGTGGCAGTGAGCGGTCTTTATTACAGGAGGGGGCGGAGACAAGACCAGTCGCCCTGCACAAGGTGAGAGAGCAGCAGTTTTGTATATGCTTGGGGCGCGGTGAATAGGTAAACGGGCCGCGTAGTAAGAGTTCATGGATGGGAGTGCCGCCATTGATACAAAGTTACCGCTTCTCACTCCTTCATTTTGCAGCGAAACTCTGAGTGAAGCTCTGAAGATCTCTCCGGCGTCGGATGTGGTCGCCGTTCAGCTCTGTTACAGAGAGATAAGCTGAGCTCCCTACAGTGCTGCTGGCAATGCACGTCCGGGCGACACCTCCCCAGTGATCAGTCTGCTGCAGGCAGGAGGAAGCATTTCCCCAGTCTCCCCTCCCCCAGTGATCAGTCTGCTGCAGGCAGGAGGAAGCATTTCCCCAGTCTCCCCTCCCCCAGTGATCAGTCTGCTGCAGGCAGGAGGAAGCATTTCCCCAGTCTCCCCTCCCCCAGTGATCAGTCTGCTGCAGGCAGGAGGAAGCATTTCCCCAGTCTCCCCTCCCCCAGTGATCAGTCTGCTGCAGGCAGGAGGAAGCATTTGCTCAGTCTCCCCTCCCCCAGTGATCAGACTGCCAGCAGCCAGGCACCACATGATTGTGTCGTCTCTGAGCCGGCATCTCAGTCCAGGAAGTGGATGGTGACCCTGGATGATGCCAGAACAAAGTTGGCGCCGTCCTTGGGGAAGTATGGGCTGTCCTGTCTTTGCAATATATGCACCTGAGCTCCCGGTGGCGGGGGAGGGGAACATTTTGGGTGCCTTAGGACCTGGTCCCTGTGCTGGCATTGTGTGACTTCCTCTCCCAATCCCATGTGACCGTCTCCCAGTTGATGGCGGTCGAGCGTTATTTTGTCGGTCGTCCCCATTGGACGGCGCCGTGAAGACGAGGTCGAGTTAAAGCGACTTTTAATGATGTTTAGTAATTGGCGGCGTTAGAACCGGATCGGGCCTGCCGGCTCCCAATTATCCCGGGAATTTACAACTTTGGAATGCGATGCATCCGAAACGTGGAGCCAAAGGAGTCATTATGTGCCGAGCCCCTCCCACTCACTGGGGTCAGGATGTCCTGTCCTGGTCTGCTCCGCACGTACCGCTCCAATTCCCGGCTGCTGAGAAACAACATTGCAAAGTTGACTTTATTTTTGTGCGGCTGTCGTCGGTCTGGACTGACCAGTTCCCTGTTAGCAAAGGATTGTGGGTATGACTGCAGAATCCGGCCGGGGGAAGATCAGACAGAGCAAAGCTCTGCAACTGCAATGTAATAATGTGAGCGGTCTTTATTACAGGAGGGGGCGGAGCCAAGACCAGTCACCCTGCACAAGGACAGAGAACAGCAGTGAGCGGTCTTTTTTACAGGAGGGGGCAGAGCCAAGACTAGTCACCCTGCACAAGGACAGAGAGGAGCAGTGAGCGGTCTTTTTTACAGGAGGGGGCGGAGACAAGACCGGTCACCCTGCACAAGGAGAGAGAGCGGCAGTGAGCGGTCTTTATTACAGGAGGGGGCGGAGCCAAGACCAGTCACCCTGCACAAGGACAGAGAGGAGCAGTGAGCGGTCTTTTTTACAGGAGGGGGCAGAGCCAAGACTAGTCACCCTGCACAAGGACAGAGAGGAGCAGTGAGCGGTCTTTTTTACAGGAGGGGGCAGAGCCAAGACTAGTCACCCTGCACAAGGACAGAGAGGAGCAGTGAGCGGTCTTTTTTACAGGAGGGGGCAGAGCCAAGACTAGTCACCCTGCACAAGGACAGAGAGGAGCAGTGAGCGGTCTTTTTTACAGGAGGGGGCGGAGACAAGACCGGTCACCCTGAACAAGAAGAGAGAGCAGCAGTGTCCAGTCTTTATTACAGGAGGGGGGCGGAGACAAGACCGGTCACCCTGCACAAGGAGAGAGAACAGCAGTGAGCGGTCTTTATGACAGGAGGGGGCGGAGACAAGACCAGTCACGCTGCACAAGGAGAGAGAACAGCAGTGAGCGGTCTTTATGACAGGAGGGGGCGGAGACAAGACCAGTCACGCTGCACAAGGAGAGAGAACAGCAGTGAGCGGTCTTTATGACAGGAGGGGGCGGAGACAAGACCAGTCACCCTGCACAAGGAGAGAGATCAGCAGTGAGCGGTCTTTATCAGAACACACATGACTCTTGTATGAGGACAATATTTGCTGATTTCGGAGTTCAGCTTTATATCCCTTTGATGAGATAAGTGAATAGTTGGCTGATCTCTTCCTTGTCTGCAGCGTGTCGGTACTTCCCCTTTAAGAGTTCTTCATTTTAACCCTTTGGACAGTTTGGTCCTTGTTGAGGATTCAGCAGAATCTTATCTCTGGATCTCTTTCACTGGAAGTCACAAAACATTTTCCTGAGAACAGTGAAACCGCCAGACACAGGAGAAGTGGGCATTGCGGCATCACCACACTTCTCCGGAATGCCGGAAGGATGTCGCTGATACTTGTCACCCTCGCAGGCAAAGATCAGAGAGTTCCCAAACGTTCTGCCCAATCACAGGGGATGATCTGGGATCAAAGAGATGACACCCTTACAATCTAGACCTAAGCTGCAGTCAGAGACTTGGTCTAGGCTGAGATGAGGTCATCAGTCTGCTGCAGGCAGGAGGAAGCATTTCCTCAGTCTCCCCTCCCCCAGTGATCAGTCTGCTGTAGGCAGGAGGAAGCATTTCCTCAGTCTCCCCTCCCCCAGTGATCAGTCTGCTGCAGGCAGGAGGAAGCATTTCTTCAGTCTCCCCTCCCCCAGTGATCAGACTGCTGCAGCAGGAGGAAGCATTTCTTCAGTCTCCCCATCCCCCTGTAATCAGTCTGCTGCAGCAGGAGGAAGCATTTCTTCAGTCTCCCCATCCCCCAGTGATCAGTCTGCTGCAGGCAGAAGGAAGCATTTCCTCAGTCTTCCCTCCCCCAGTGATCAGTCTGCTGCAGGCAGAAGGAAGCATTTCCTCAGTCTTCCCTCCCCCAGTGATCAGTCTGCTGCAGGCAGGAGGAAACATTTCCTCAGTCCTTGATCTCATCCTAGGCAAAGTCTCTGGCTGGAGATCGAGGACGTATCCCTGTTGCTATATGTCGTGACACGTTAGTCATTTATTCATGCAGACTCGTGAAGCTACTGACAGGTCCTCTTTAAATTCATGGCTGTGTGCCGTTCAGTGCTCCCCATTGGATGATAAGGTGTATGAAGTGCGGTCTGTAGCTGTGCCAGCATCGCAGAGCTCTCGGCTTCCTCCTTGTGTTTGGAGACGAGCCAGGTCCTCATCACACCCCGGAGAGGAGAATCCTCGAGTTCTGCAGATGAATTGGAAGGTCGCTGAGCTCGCCGGTGACACACGCGGGGAGGATGCAGCCTGTGTGACCGGCTCTGCTAATGACATCAATGACCCCCCCCGGGTGGCCTCACCCTATAAACTGACAGCGGGCCGCTCCTGTCACTATGCATTCTGTCATCACCGAGGACAACATGACTGAGAGGAGGACAATCCGTCTCCCCGTCACCAGCCCCACGTACCAGGTGTGTGTGGTGGGGGAGGAGGTCGCCATCGATATTTACAGGTAAGAATCTATTCTGATCAATAACTATCCGTATTGGTGTGATCAAATATTTGACTTATATATACAAAGTAACGAGACGCTATAACGGAGCTCCAGCTGTGCTGAGACTACAAACCCCATCATGCCGCTGCTGCTGCAGGAAGTCATGTCTATGGCTGTCAGAGTCTTACAATGCCTCATGGGACTTGTAGTTTCACAACAGCTGGAGTGCCCAGGTTGCTGACCTCCTGAGCTATAACTGAGGTTGCCACCTTTACATCAAGTGAAACCCGAACAATGTAGCGTCACACGCTCTCAGATGGCTGTGTGGGGTCTCAGGTGGCTGTGTGGGGTCTCAGGTGGCTGTGTTGGGTCTCAGGTGGCTGTGTGGGGTCTCAGGTGGCTGTGTGGGGTCTCAGGTGGCTGTGTGGGGTCTCAGGTGGCTGTGTGTTTTATAAATAATAAACATTTTCTTTTGTATCCCACAACAGTCTTTTCATGTTTATACTTTGTTTTCTATATTTTCCTTCCGTTCTTCCGCCATTATAAAGTGAAGTATCGGAGAGTTTGGGATCTTCTCCTCCGATGATGTTCTAGAATAGAAGATGTTTCCGGAAGAATAAGAGAAACATATTTCAGCTCCTGCAGAACTTTTCTATCAGATACATTTATATACATTGGGACCACTGAGAGCTGAATGACA